AATGCTCTGCTTCACAAGCACAAGCCTTCTCTTCCTCGGCAGAGAAGCTGGGTGCTTTTGGAATCAAACCGAGAACCTTGAACATAAGTTGATCTGCATCATAATCATTGTTGGGGGTTGTCAGTAGCTTCTCGCCAGTGAAGATGGAATTTGCACCAGCAAGAAAGCACAGGGCCTGCTCGGCCATTGAGAAACGCACTCTCCCAGCTGATAATCTGACCATTGCTTTTGGCATAACTATACGTGCAGAGCCAATCATTCGAATCATCTCCCATATTTCAACTGGCTGAATGAGGAGGTAGAAACATGAAATCTGTCAAGCTTCAAAGCAACTGATACTAAATTTGGAAGGACAAATCTCATGATGCAAATGTAGACAAGCAACTAATGTACAGCGCAATAATTATAACATAAGTGTCATAAACAAACAATAAGTCAGGGATGCCTCTTTATTAATATCCGGGTAAATAAATGGTAATATAATTTTCCTGTCTTCCAGTAAAATGAATTTCAGATATACTGTATTTAACAAGACACGTCCCATGGCCATCATCACTATCTGACAGCATTTTTGGTTGAAATGCATGACATTCCCATAAACCACGTGCATGGCCAAACAATCTTCCACAAAAGATTTGGCTCTCACACTCCATCCTTCTCTTTCCCGCAATCCAGCCACTCAAATGGGGCACTAAACCCCATCTTTATCTGTTATAGTAAACATGCACCTTCACTTAAAAAGTCGCAGTTATGTGGGCCAACAATCACTTCTAGTGATACCATCTAGATATTTCAGGCCATAATATAAACTAAATGAATAAATAGAATCTGATCAAGTAATCAGATATTAATCCATGACTCTTGTTAATACTCTATGGATATAAAAAGAGGTTGTAGGATAAGGAGAATATTGTGAGACCAAGAATTAAATCATGGCCAGCTTGAGAGTGATTGGTAAAATACATGTGTTTCAATAAGCAAAGGAGCTACAACAAATTAATAGAGTCTATCCCATGGCATGGTTACGAAAGCTGATGCACTATCATTATCACACTTTGCTGAATAGAGAAGACAACAGAGCAAGTGTGATTTTTACTAGAGTTTCTCAGTAAGTTAGCTAATATTATTGGTTTCACATTCACAACTAAAGCTGCAATCAGTTCACAATGTAACAACAGTTTTAATAGTTAAATTAATATAAGAAAAGTGTTCTACTTTCCATCTGTCATTACTTGCTGGGAAACAAAATCTGAAGAACAAAGATAAATTGAATATCCGCAGTACATAATCAGGCACAGCCATTATTATTATTATCACAAAAGCAACCTTACTCAACTTGTATCAGACACGAATAGAATTACCTTTTGTTCTTGTAGAGGGGTGCCTTTCACTGCAACTAATGCATTAATTGGAACACTCTCTGGGTGTGTAGGGAGGGTTGCCAATGTATGCAATAAACCAACTCGGTCTTCCTCTGCTTCTCCGAGCCCTATTATGCCTCCTATTAACATAAAAATAGACAGTTTCCATGATAAGAATTCAACTTTGCAATGAAAAAAGAAACTAATGTCTGAAATTTAAACAGAATGTGCGGTTGCAGTTATTGCCCAGCTCCATTGTTTAATGCGAGGATTCACTCTGAAGTCAAGAAGTTATCAAATTTCCATAAAAAAGCATCCTAAATTGGACAAAATTCCCAATTTTTTTCTAACCATATATCAAGTTAAGCTTGTATTGAGATCCAACTGAAAGACATAAAATGGCACAAATGAAAAGCAAAAAAGACCAACTAAACTATGTGCTTTATGCTCAAATTGCAATTATTGCATATCTCCATTCCACTGTTAACTCCAAGGAAATCAATCAATTTAAAATGTTTCCATTTCTTTTTCTTTGCAGTGGACTTTGTTTTTCAAAATCTACTTAAGGATGCAAGAAAGTTGACCTGAGCAGACACTAATTCCTGCTTCACGGACATGTTCAAGGGTTTCCAAGCGTTCGTCATAGGATCTTGTAGTGATGATGTTTGGGTAATATTCTCTTGAGGTATCAAGATTATGGTTATAAGCTGTAAGACCAGCCTTCTTCAGTTCTACAGCCTGCTGCTTCTCTAGCATGCCCAAGGTACAGCAAACCTCCATGCCCATATCCCTGATAGGCATCAGTCATTTCAATCACAGACTATGCATTAGAGGAAAAAAAAAAAAAAAGGAGCTAATGCAGCATTTTGCATGACATGGCTACTTAAATGCATGAGCTAGCATATAAGCCTTCATTTTAAAGAGCTCAAGGTGTAGAAATTTCTCCAATTCTCTCTCTTGGCAACTCACTTCAGTAGAAACACAGCTAGGGAATAACCTATTTGCACTGTAATAGTGTGTGCAGTGTGAAAATCTGTTTTCTAACTTAAGAAAAATGCTTGGTTTCACATATATTTCTTCCATAAATGATGCGCTCATTACCTGATTTCTTTCACATAATCTAAAATCTGATTAAAGTTGGTCTTTCTTCCTATCGTATCTCTCCAAGCAGCACCCATGCAAAAACGTGTACTACCAGCCTCTTTTGCCTGCAAAACCATGCAGAAGGTATAATACAGAAGAAGAAAAAGAAAAGGACACCAGGCTACACTAGACATGAAACTGATCAGATAAAACTTCAGTACCACCTGATATAGGCACCAAACATGAAGTTGTACCAAGAACATGAGAATTCATTCTTGAGGCGATCTTCCTTTTTCAGCTACTTTGCTAAGTGAAGTTCTGGGATGTTCATGAAACTTTTGCTAAACCCTAAAGCTAACTGAATGACCAACAAATTTGCTATCGAGCTATAAATGTTCCAGAAATCTAGGACATATCCGTTACTGACAATTTTTCAATTCTTGTACCCAAATTAACAAAAACAAAACAATACACGTGATCTAAAAACAATTTTAATCAGGAAATACGCAAGTTAAATCAATCAATTAAGACATCACATTAAGAAAGCCATCTAAATGAGTGCAGATTTTCTTTGACAAAATTGGCAAGATAACCGAACCACATAATAATTAAAATCAGGAACAAAGCATAAACCTTTTTTAGCACAGATTCCATCAGCACAGAAAGTGTTTGATTGCTTAAGATTCTTGTGAACCAAAATACCATAAATCAAAAGACTATAAGAAGATAAAAGGACATACCCTTTTAGCAGCCTCGATAACAGTTTCTTTAGTCATGAGCCTCTGAGCCTTGAGTCCAGTATTATACCTTGAAGATTGAGGACAATAAGAACAATCCTCACTGCACCCACCAGTCTTTATGGAAAGCAAAGTACATTGCTGAACCTCTCTAAAATTATGAGCATATCTATGAACTTGAGCCTAACAAAACAAAACAGCACAAAACATAAACCCCGGCATAAAAAAACCACCCTTTTCCCTGCATTACTAAGTAAAAAGAACTAACCCCATGAAAGAGGATATCAAGAAGAGGAGAGTCATAAACTTCCTTGATTTCTTGACGTGTCCAATCATTCCTGGGACCATCTTTGATAGTTTTTTCCGCTTGAATTGCTGCAGCTGATGACGATGAATAACATAACGAGGAGAGAGTGATAGAACTCAGTCTTGATTGTGATCTAAAGATTGATCTAACTGACAGCATTGTCTTTCGTTTTGTGTTATGAGCGTTTGGTTCTTGTTTTTCCTTTCGTTAAAAACGAGGAGAAAACTGGAGTGAAGAGAAAGAGGTTTTACTTTTAGATGTTAGAAAGGAATGGGCAACAGCAGTAGAAGCAGCCAGCAAGAAGGGTTAGATGGAGAGAAGGCAAACCACCTAACCCCCAACTGCTCAAGTTTGGTTTTATTTCTATATATTTATTTCCAGTTTATTTTTATATTTAAAATATTTTATTTTTTTAATATCATTTTATATTTTAATATCAAAAATAAAAAATATTATTTTAATATATTTTCAAATTAAAAATACTTCAAAAAATAACTCTTGAAATAACAATCATGCTCTTTAATGATAAAAGCAGAATCAATACGAAAGTCTTCTTGTTTTTATTTTTATTTCAATTCAAATTAACAAATATTTGAATAAAATTACATTATGAGACACTACTTCTGATACAGGAAATTGACATCTAGTTCTTGCACGCAGCTATTTTAGTATATTGTTGTAGCAAAGAAGAAGAAAAGGAGAAGAAAGAGTAATTTGATTGCTAATACAAGTGTCCACACACAAGAAAATTCAATCAACAGAATAGAACCCAAGAAAAAAAAAAAAAAAGATGTCCACTGCAAGTTACAAACTTGAAGACCCAGGATGCAGTTGACCCCAAGTTGTGATGAAGCCACCTTATGAACGCATTTCATCACCTTCAAATATTAAATTCAAGAAAAAATCAGCAACAGTAGCAGCTAAAAAAATCCCAAATCATTAATTAATGATACAGATTAGCTTGCAATAATGGGTGATTCTCAATGATTAAGTATGAATCTACTATTAATCCAATCATTAAATTACACTCAAATTTTTATAAGAACTATGCATTTACTACTTCAATTGTTAAATCTTTAAATTTCACTTCTATATCTTGATTTGGACCATTTTTATAACCTTTTCATTGTTATTTTCAAATTTCATATCTTTTTTATTAATAATTTTAAATTTTTATTTTTTTCAATTAAAATAAACTTTCTAATCTATTTAAAACTTTATAAATCTCAATTTATATTTACAATCCTTTTTACTCATTAAAATTCATATTTTTTTGGCTCATTCAAATTCATATGTTCTTTCTTTCACCAATTAACTAACATTCTAAAAGGCCTGTAAAATCACAGAAATTAAATCATTAATAAAATAAAATTTTCAAAAATATACCAAGTATCGCAAGAGATCGAAGAAGAGAAGACTGAACGAGAGAGGAGAGAGGAGAGAGGAGAGGTCACTGCTCATTTGGGTCCCACCGAAAGCTCTCCAAAGCCCAGCATGGGCCTTCCTTGCATTATTTAAAATGCATGGTCATGCTTTACAGTCCCAGACCAATGTTCTACAATCGTACTATAAAAGAAGCATTCAGCCCACTGGCTGACCTTACAATGCCCGATTCTGCCATACAATTTCATCGTTGAAGAGAAAGAAAAGAAGCACAGAAGCACAGGTTCATGATCATATACAGCACAGAAGCGCAGGTTCATGATCATATACAGCACATAAAATTTCATCGTTGAAGAGAAAGAAAAGGAGCACAGAAGCACAGGTTCATGATCATATACAGCACATACCATCATTCACCAATTCAAGTTGAATGGCTATACAAGCTTTTATAAATAAAATAAAGGTTTGGCGCATCAGAGCTGTTACAATCGTCTAGCATCGGTACACATTTGTGTTTTTGTGTTTGCCAGAGTAACTGGTATGTCGAACACCTAGTGCTGCTGCCGGAAGATAAACATCCGGAAAAAGCATATCTGCAAACAACAATTAATGGTAAGTGGTGCATTTTATTTCTTACGATGTACTGTCAATTCAGAAATTAAACGCAAACAATTCTGTCTCTAAAAAGATAAAAATAAAATAAAGTACAGCAAATTGTATGCTTGACACTTTTAGAATACTATGATCCAAACTATGATCACCTCTCCTTTCTTCTAATCAAGAAACTTACCATGGGTTATTCTAACAATGTACACTGTCACTCATGCTTCACAAATCATCTCTGCAATGGACACACAGCTCAGCTAGCAGTCACCTATGACTTTACTCTGATTTCCTCATTTTGCAGCCTTCCTTTTGGCTTGAATTTGACGCACATATTCTGTCACGATGACATGGAACTTAGGAGCAAGCTTACTTGATGAGGAAACATTAAGGCCTGCTTTCCTCAGTGCCTGAGTCACATGTTTCTGAGCCTTTTGGAAGTGGACAGTGCAGAGTGCAGGAGCAGTTGATCTCAGTATTGGCTTTCCACATGTTATTGGTCCTGCCTGAGCACTTGAGTACATAGCCAACCAAAAGACTCTTATGATAAGTGGAAAATCAACGGATTAGAATCAATCATAATATACTATTTTAAAATTCATCATATGATACAGGAACCAATAAAATATTTCACTCAGATTCGACAACCAAATCCAACCAACTGCCCATCAAAATAGTTTTGATTTGGTATCATGGGAAGCAAACTGGCGGCAGAAATGCTAGCTATCTTAGCTGTAAAGCAAGAAAAAAAGGTTTAAAAGCAAGCTAACTAGAACTTGAATATGAAGTTTAGTTTTAAAATTTCAGTCTTTCAGCACTTCAGCAAGAACTTGAAAGTTGTTCAGGGTTCAAGCATATATCCATCAATGCGTTTGTTTTCATTTTGGATTCTAACTAATGCCATCAATCTATCACAAGCTGCAGCTACGATGTCAATGTCCAATGGACCTTATGGCAAGACAGCTCTACATTGATTAGATATCACGCCCAACAGCAATCACCAAAAACAAGAAAATGAACTTCAAAAAGGATAGGCCAAAGCTACAGCTTTACAGAAGACACATCGCACACTAACATTTCAGTCAATTATTTGGTATAATATACAAGTAACAAGATTTCTTGGTGAAAGTATAAACATGTTACTCATGCAATAATCCAAATTACTTCTACAGCACCATTAGAATTAGAGTTCTTCGTAACCATGCAAGACTATCAAATAAAATTCAGAAACTAGTTTGAACATCAAATGTTGTCTCACAATTTGTTCAAGAATAGTGAGAATTCTCAAACATTTCTCTCCTCATTTTCTTCTTTCGTTTAGCTTATCATCTACAGTATTTCTGTGTATTGTTATATACCATGATATGCATCTGAAGACTATTTTCAACTTGTTAGATATTGCATGATGGATACATGAAACAAAGTTCTATGCTTTTAAGTTAGGTCTCATTACCAGAACTAGAGCAAAAAAGGAGATATAAATCTAGCATGAAAAAACACAAGTCTCTAGTACTTCAAATTGTTCCATAATTGTCGCTAGAAGCTACAAGGCAAGCAAATACTTCATTTCATTTCTGCATAAATCCAGGTCTAATTCGCAAAACCTTTTCATAATTATCGATTATACTCCCAGCTTAACATCAAAACAACATTGTTTCATTTTGAACCCTGAAATATCACGGTGACAAGAAATTCTCAGGTAATTAATTGTCATCGAATTTACAAATTCTTCATGATTCATCAGACTTCTTTCCAGATCCCTAACACTATGCATATATAAACCAATTCCTACACAATCTTAATCAAGTTCATTCAATTTACCTATCCCAAACTTCCTCAACTGGCCCTGGGCAAACTAATCTTGCACAAACATGCAACTATTAAATAAAACTGGCAACGCCAACCATTCAACCATAAAAAACATACCAAAACCTAGCTAAAAAGAGAGTTTAACACCACCAACACAATCTTACAGCAACCAAACAATCGAAACCCCCCTCCAAAAAAAAAAAAACCTATAAAAGAAATAAGCTTTATGAACCAGAAATCAAAGACAAAAGTAAAGCAACATCAAACCTTTTGATAACATAACCACAAGGCTTGTAAAGCTTCTGCTTTGCATCGGAAAGTATATGAAGATGACAAAAACTTGTCAAAGCCATAGCCTTTAGCTTACACCCAACAAACAAACACCTATGATTGCTCTTCAAATCACTAACATTATTATTATTTTCACCAATAACTTCAATATTAGCCTCCCCCTCCCCATTCTCTCTCTCTAAAACACCAAACTCACCACCCTGCTTATGCTGCTCTACTTTTTGAAGGGTGTTTTTGTGGTCTTCTTTGAATGGGCTAACACCATACTTCCAATAGTACTCTCTGTACAGAACTTTGAGTTCTTCCATTAATGCCCAGTAATAATCTTTGAAGCATTTTGAGAGCTGTTTAAGCTTGTGGGATCTTCTTTTGAGTAGTTCTTGGCGCGTAATGTGGGTGGCGCGTGACAAAACCTGGTCTTTGAGGGAGGGAGATAATGGTGATGGATTAATTACGTGGTTAGGGTTAGTAGTGGGGTTAGAGTTTTGAGTGCTGATAGTTTGTGGGGTAGTTGCTTTGGGGGTCGAGTGGTGGTTCTTGGGTGGTTTAGAGGAGGAGGGGTGGTGGTTTTTGGTGGCTGCAGTCATGGCTTGCTAGAGAGAGAAAGTTCAGAGAGAGAGAGGGGGACTTGTTTTGTTGTTTTTCGCTGACTGCTTAGTCACAGAATGTCTGAAAAGAGAATTCGCAATCTCCGACGACATGTAGTTTAGAATATGGACGACGGTTTGCATTGAGGAAGACGACAAGTTATTCAAGTCCCCTGGAAAGCCAGGTGCTGATTAATTCTAGGGAAACCTCAAATTAACCCCTGAAGTATTACTAAATGCTTATTGTGTCACAAAATGTAAAAGTTTAACAAATGAGTCCCTAATAGTCCAAATATACCTCACACGACAACTTATTGACAACTAGTGATTAATGAACAGATACACATAATAAATGCCTCCAAAATTAAATAAAATTGCTAACAACTTTCACAGTATCCACTCCTTAATTATTGGTGATTTTTTTTTTTTTTGTGGTCAAAGGTTTGAGCAAGCTCAATCCTCAGACTTTGCAATCATAGACCAAAGTTTACAAAGTGTAGAATTTGAGAGACCATCTCAAAATACTAATGTTGTTCCATAAGAGCTTAAGAGCCCTTTAAAAGCCACGAACTACTCGGAATCCACTGCAAGCAGGTCATAGATCACATCCTTGAATGCAATGACGACCTCAAAATACATGATTACTCTATTTCTGAGATGGCTGCCAATTCTTGATGTAGACGTCGCCCTGCTATACTTGCAGTCTTTCTCTTTGGAGCTGAGGAGCGTAAAGGATTAGGAGGTTTTGTCAAGTTGTCTCCTTCACCTTCCAGCATCTGGACAACAATTTTCATGGAAGGACGGTCCGCCGGGTTCCACTGGATGCACCACAGTCCCACAATGGCTAGCTTCTTCGCAATTTTAGCATCTCCTTCTTCCTCGATGTGCAACCGCAGGTCTTCTCCTTCTTCTAAGAGATTATGAATCCATTCTGGGAAGTATACTTGATCACCATTTTCTGCTGTATCACCAACATTTTTCCTTCCACCAACCATTTCTAACACTAACATTCCGAAACTATACACATCTGACTTGTAGGAGACATTTCCAAAGTTTCTTGAGAACACTTCAGGTGCTATGTAGCCGACCGTTCCCCTAACTCTTGTCATGGAAATAGCACTTTTATACTTGGAACACAACTTAGCCAGACCGAAATCTGCAATCTTGGGATTGAAGTCATTGTCCAGCAGGATATTATGTGGTTTGATATCAAAGTGGAGGATTGTTTGGTCACAACCCTGGTGAAGATATTCAATCCCTTTGGCTACTCCAAGGGCAATATGATGCAGCCTTTCCCAGCCAAGGAAAACATTCCTTGCGTTTGCTGAAGATATGAACTTCTGCAGCGAATCGTTTGGCAAGTACTCGTAAACTAGAGCTCGTCTAAATCCATCAGCACAGAAGCCAATCAAGCGGACTACATTGACATGGTGAATCCTGGCCATTGTTTGCATTTCGTTGACGAATTCCTCTCCTTTTTCTGTTGAATTGCTTAGAACCTTAACAGCCACCGGAATCTCACTGGTTAGCTTTCCTTTGAACACAGTTCCATAAGCTCCTTGCCCCAATTCATCCCTGAATTGATTTGTCATCTTTTTGAGATCAGCATGTGAGTATCTTGTGGGGTTCATAGCTCTGTAATCATCCAAAAACCTTTCAACCTTGCCCTGATATTCTTCTTCTGATTTTCTGATGCTATAGACTTGGTAGACTGCAATGACCAAAACCCCGAAAAGGATGGATCCTGTGGTTACACCTGCATGTATAAATAAGCCTTTTGAGTTAAGTATCTGATCTTCTTTTTTGGAAGCGAAGAGTTGGAGTAAATTTGAGAACAGCTAACCTATAGTCAGATTCTTTTTCCGTGCACCTGCAGAAGATAAGAAACCCTTGTTAATTTCTGATTTTCTGAAAGTTTCTAAAGTCATGATAATATCCTCTATTTGTAGAATTTGTAGAATCAAGAACGCTAAATTCACAGGTAACCCCCTTGTCAGTCAACTCGCCAGTAGATAGTGTTAGGATAGTAGCATGTAAAACATAAGAGGATAAAAAAATAAAGGATAGAATAAAATAAAATATAAGATAAACAAGAATTTATATGATTCATTTAATTTAGCTATGTTTACAGGTAAATATAGAAGGATTTTACTAAGTAATGTGAGAATTACAACCTCTCTCTACTAATAGGAGAACAATTGAAATCTATCTATTATTAGGAGAAAATACCCTACTTACTCTCCTCACAAATACCTCACAATTTTATAGGATTACTTTCATTCTCTCACTCTCCTTTTATTCTCTCTTATTTCTCTCTTATGGTGTACATTTAAGGCTTTGATGCATTGCCTATTTATAAGCAAGAGTGAGGAGACAAGGATCATAAATCACGACATCAATTATGTTACAAATTATGCCAACAACTCATTTTTCATTTATTTTTGTCTAACAACTCACCTTCCACCAATTTGGTGGATTTAATTAAGTGGCGTTACATTCTTCCATTTGAAGACTTTGATGATTTAATCAAGTCTTCACACTTCATCATTTGTGATTCCTCTATCCTTTCTATACTTGTCATCTTCATGTTGCTTACGTTTCTGTTAAACTATAAGAGGATCTGCATCATATATACTTATCAATATTGACTGGTTTGATCAAAGCATCTACTGAGTTTTCTTTTGTGTGAACCTTTTAAAAATCCATACTTCCATCTTCTACCACTTCGCAAACAAAGTGATACTGAACATCTATGTGTTTTGTTCTTGAATGAAACGTTGGATTCCTTGTAATATACAAGACTCTCTAACTATCACAATATAAAAGAATCTTCTTTTGTTTGTACCCAAGCTCCTTCATAAAGTTCTTCATCCATATTGCTTCTTTACAAGCTTATGTAGCTGCCATATACTCAACTTCTGTTGTGGATAATGCTATAATAATATGAAGTTTAGAGACCCAGCTCACAGCTCCTCTTGCAATTATGAACACATAGCCTGTAGTAGATTTTTTTTTCAAGGTCACTAGTAAAATCTGAATCAATATAACCCCTAATAGTAAATTCTGATCCTCCATAATATAATATGGTATCTAAGGTACCCTTGATGTATTTCAAGATCCTTTTAATAGTATTTCAATGTTCTCTACCAGGATTTGCCATGTATCGACTAACTGCTCTCACTGTTTGTACAATATCTAATTTTGTACATATCATGACAAACATTAAACTTCTCATTGCTGATACATACGGTATTCGAGACATCTCCATCCTCTCTGCTTCATTACTAAGAGACATATTTGAGGATAATTTGAAGTTAATAGAAAGTGGGGTGAAAATTGGCTTACAATCTTGTATGTTGAAGCGTTGTAAGACTTTCTTCAAACAATTCTTACAAGAAAATCAAATCTTTCTTTTACTTCTGTCTCGGTAAATTTTCATCCCTAGAATCTTATTTGTTGGTCCCAAATCCTTCATATCAAACTCCCTGGCCAATCGTACCTTCAATACTTGGACTCAATCTTTGTTAGTACCTATTACGAACATGTCATCCATGTACAACAACAGAATGATAAAATCATTATCTTCTTCAAACCTCTTATAATACGTATAATGGTCTAAACTGAGTCTGATGTGCCCAAGGCTAATTATGAAGGAATCAAATCTCTTGTACCAATACCTTGACGTCTGTTTGAGATCGTATAGAGATTTGTTCAACCTGCAAACCAAGTTCTCCTTTCCTGTTTTAGTAAAACCCTCTGGTTGGAGCATATAAATTTCTTCTTCAAGTTTTATATAAAAAAATACAGTTTTCACATCTAATTATTCTAAGTGAAGATCAAATATAGCACACATCGCCAAGATTACTCTGATTGTGGTAAATCATACCACCGGGAAAAATATCTCATTGAAGTCTATTTCTTCTTTTTGAGCATATCCTTTCACCACCAATCTTGCATGATATCGCTCCACTTGATCATTTCTATCATGTTTTATCTTGTAAACCTATTTGTTACCAACGACCTTTTTTCCTTGTATTAGCGAAATAAGATCCCAAGTGTTATTATTGTGTAGAGCTTCATTCTCCTCTTGCACTACTGTCATCCATATAGATACATCTATGTTTTTAATAGCCTCGTGGAAAGTTGATGGCTCTCCGTCCTCTGTTAGAAAACAGTATGCAATGTTGCTCTAAGTAACATATTTTGAGTGCTAAGCCGGTGGTTTTTTTTCATGAGTTGACCGTCAAACTTCAAGAGTTTCAGACTCTATTTGTTATTGTTCTTCATGCTTTGGTACAACTTCAAATTTTGAGTATTTTTCATATTGACTGCTATAGTCTTCTTTAAAATACTATTATATTCTTCCATTTGCATTTTATCTTTCACAAATATGACATCTCTGCTGATGACTACCTTGTGGGCAGTAGGATCCCACAAATGATACCCTTTCATACCATTTGCATATCCAAAAAATAAATATTTTGTATATTTTGAATCCAGCTTGTTGACTTCTTGAGTATTGTACATCATATATACAGGACTTCCAAATATATGTAATCGAGAATAATCAGTTGGCTTTCCACTCCACATCTCTATTAGTGTCTTTAGCTCAATTGCAGTTAATGGAAATCGATTTATCATATAACATGCGATATTGACTACTTCTGTCCAGAATGACTTTTTTAGACCTGTAGCCTTCAATATTGCTTTTGTTATTTCTAATAAAGTTTTGTTTATTCGCTCTGTCACTCCATTTTGTTGTGGAGTGTATGTCATTATGAATTGCCTTTTGATACCTTCATATTGATAGAAGTTATCAAATTCATCACTGGTACATTCTCCTCTATTGTCAGTCCTCAAACACTTGATCTTCTTTTCAAATTCAAGTTTTACATGTGCTTTGAAAGTTTTAAAGACTGCAAGTATATCTACCTTCTTTTTAATTAGATACACCCAATATTTACTAGAGAAGTCATCTATGAATGATACAAAGTATTTTGCTCCTCTCAAAGATATGACCGGTGTTTACCAAACATCAAAATGAATCAGGTCTAAGATGTATTTGCTCTTAATTGTTGATGTGCCCAACTTTAACCTGTGCTGTTTACTTAT